CATAATGTTATCAAGTTGGGTGTATTTTAATATATTTATTTATTTATAGGTCTTGCTTACTCTTGGGGTATGGGTAGCAATCATCAACTTGGACATGGAGACAGTGAAGATGACTGTTGGGAACCAGAGTTGATGGTGGGGAAACAACTAGAAGATCGGTAAGATATTTGATTGTTTACATTTTTAAATATAAAACTTATCTTTTGCTCATAGATTGGTTGGATATGCTTGTTGTCCATATGAAAACGTTTTTATAAGGTGTACTTTGTAGTTCTAATGTTTCTTTCGATTGGAAATAATCACAATCATTATGATTTCTAATGGATTTAGTTTGATTTTCAATTTCACGTATTCAGCATGAATTCTAAACAATATTAGCTAGTTTGATCACCCTCAAACTTTCCAGTTACATTTAAACACTTCAATTAAGATCTGATTCACCCTAATTTCAAACCAATGGTGCACATGGGCTCCAGGATTCTGAAGGAACACATGGTGTATGAACCAATCGTTAGTGACCGGCTACCATGGCACTGCATCTCCTTACGTTGCTCCACTGCCTTGTGGATCAGACCTTTAGGTCGAAGGCTCCGGGTGTGGCTCCCTAAGAAAACCATCTGCTTCGGTCTGGGCACACGGTCAGTATCACAGCCCATATCAAGTGAAGTGACTTGTATAGCGCATATGTATTCGGTGCTTCTTTGAACCAATATTTATGTGTTCAAATAAATAATAAAGTGGATTCTTTCGTTTCTCATAAAAATGGATATTTATGATTAAATTTATTTGTAGTGATGAAGTTTTTTTCAAAAAATGGTGGCTTAGATTTCCGCTTTTATCATGTTTTGATGTTCATTCGATAAAGCGTGGCTCATCGCTTCAGCTAGAATAAGTTTGGTTGAAGATTAGTTTTAAGCTATCATGTTGGACTTTCCTATTCAAATTTTAAAATAAATAATAGTATATTTCTGCGTTAAAGTTTTTGGAATTAAGTTTATCCATCTTCAAGTGTAAAATCAATGTACGAGAAAGTGAATGTAAATTATATTACTTTCAAAGTGGTATAATGTATTTAATGAAGAGTGTTTAGTAAATGTCCATTTAATACTTAGTTCTGGCAAGCAGTTCTCAATAGAACGCTCTATCTAGCGTGTGTAAAACATTGTTCATTCACTTTCGGCAACAAAGCTTTATGTCATTATCTGAATAGCTTTTCCATTACCTATCACTCGCGGTTACCCTCACTATCACCTAACAAGTTATTTCATGACATACAAACAATTCTTTGAAGGCACCTATGACCAAATATCTCTCCTATATTTAAGACTTACAGACTTAAGGTATCGAATTAGGATCTAAAAAATTACTAGCTGTCTTTTTTGTAATACCTTGTCATTTTCATGTAAGCTGTATTTGCGATGAATTCACTCAACTAAGCACTTATTTAAAATGGGTTATCTTCTTATATTTCTTGCAGTCGAGTTTTAATGGTTGACGCTGGTGGTCAACATACTGTTATGCTAGCTTGCTCTGCTACTCAGCCAAAAGTGATTGATACTGAGGCAGATATTGTGATGGGTGATTCTAATCAGCTTCCAAATGGGACGAACAAATCTCCTGAAGCCGAAAAACATGATGAGGAAATGTCAGAAGTGATGTGTGGTCCACTTTCTAATAATAATGTAGAGCCAGATCAGCAAAGTGTAGAATTATCCAAAAATCTTAAGATGTGTGATTCTTCCGCTGATACATCAGTAGAGCGTATTTTGATTCCACCTATTGGACCTGGTGCCCCACAAAGCAAGCGAAACCGACGTGCAAGTCCTTCGTCTGTAACTGGAAGTACCGGGACGACGTTGTTAACTCCTGTTGGGTTTAGTTGTGAAAGTACAACAGGAAGTACAGCAGGGGCCACAATCAATAGCAGCGTTCATAGTTCTGCTGTTTCTGATACTTGCTCCGTTGGATCATGTGCATCGACAAGTAGTACAAGTAGTCAGTTGAATAGTGCTAAAAGTACCGATGGTGGTGGAAGTAGCCGATGTAGTTCTTTTGACAATTACAGTGTACAGAGTAGTTTATTGTTAGTACCATCCACAGAAGATAAATCCCGTAAAGGCACATGATACCCTGTCCTTATTTTCAGTATTTTAAAAAATCTACTTGGTATTATTATTTTCATTAATCCCTAAGGTTATTTATGATACGTAGTATCAATTATAGTCATTTTTCAAAATGCTCAAATTTATTTCATCTCTAACCTTGTGGTTATACATATTCATCGTCTTTTAGTTTACTGTTTTTGTGGAGAATTTCCATACTAAATTTATCCCATGTGATGTTTTGTCTTGGTTTTATTTCTAATAATGGTCACAATTTGTAAGAAATTAAAGATGAACTTACTCTTTATGTAATCCATTGTTTCCAGACAACTTTCACTCAAACTATTTCAGGCAACTAACTGATTAACTCACCTATTCGTTTTATATGTATAATGTTTATTTTGTACACTACATCTATTTGTATAATTTAATCTTTGTTAAACATTTGGGAAATAAGAAAAACTTTAAATATCCTAATGTATACTTTAAATGTTAACCTAAAGTTTGTTTTTGTGATTGCTTGTATGTATGCTTATGTAATTATATTATAATAATAATCCATATTCATTTCAACGTTAACATTACAGTTTTGTAAGTTGAATATAAATATTTTGACTGGGTTTCTTATGGAAGGTTACTTACATAAAGTAAGTTGTGTTTGTTGATGAAGTGGTGTTCATACCTTGAAATCATAACGAAGTTATCTGTATTTCTCTGATGGAGCATCCATCTTTTGTCATTTCTCCAACTGTATACATTCTATTTTCCTATCGTATGTTGATTTTTCTACGGTAGTGAATACTACTACTTCTAAAATCTTATATCTCATCGTTCAACCAAATGGAAATAGTTTTAGTTAGTTCGGATAATTATAAGGGATAATACAGGTTTCATGCATTCATAGGATTTTTTAGATCAAACGAAATTCTCGGTTCTACAACCATTATGATTTTAAGCTAGAATTTTTAGTTTCATTAATTGTCTTGAACCAGATCACTAAGACCAACATCTCTATTTTGTAGTACGGGTACCATTACAGAGTCATCTCATTTTTCTCTTGTCCTAATGAATCCTTTACAATCAGTATTTTTGTGTTTCAAACGTACACAACCTTTTCCAGTGCACCTATCGAATTAAAATCGACCGTTGTTAGTAAAGAGGATTATCTTACTATCAGATAAAGAAACTGTAAATGTCCTAATAACACCAATGGGAATCCCGTTACTGCCTTTTGCTCTTGTTAATTAGACTATTACATATTGGTTACTGGTTGTGTGGTTAATACTGCTTTCTTCTGTATTGTAACCTGTTCCAGTGCATTCAGTTTATCTACTCCATCCATGGAAGAAAACTGACGGACAAAAGAATGAACTCATGCACAAACATAGCTATATTAGTGAGTATCTGAAACAAACTAATCAGTTCACCTGTAGGTCTCATAAAATGAAATATAATTGTGGTCATAATATCCAATACGAGTAATTTCTTCACTTTGTGCTAGCATGGTTGAATATTAGTTGAATGTGCAATAATGATACTAGATAGTTTTGGCAACAAAGCTAAATAGCGAGTGTTTTCTGAATTTAAATCAAGTGCGAATTATATAGAGAATTTCACTGAGATATCATACCTCATTTCGACGGATCATCTAGTTTGTTGATGAACGGTTAAAATTTGCTGAGAATACGTGTCACGTAAATGTTAGTGTTTTTTTAAGTGTATTATCGCAGCTTAAACTGACAAATTATTGGCCCAAACATAATCCTTATGACGTCGATGTTAGACACTAACAGCAACAACGGACCTAATGACATTCTTAAGTAGGTTTGGGTGTTTTCGACATCTTATTTGATGGGAAAAGTCAGTTAGTAATGTGTATCGGTCCACGTGGCCATATTATATTAGCGCAGCGAGGTAAAATTACTAAGGAAAATTATAAAGTGATGGCAGTATCAGTAGTAGTGGAAAAGATTGGCCATAAAAAGAAAAAGCTATAGGGCGATTTCGTGACTGAGGGTTTAAGGGAAACAAAGATTGAAGCACTTACGCCATTAAGACGAATACTGAGCCATGTCACTAAATTTCTAACTACAGGTTATGATAAACACGCGCATGCTAAGCATGTAGTGTTTACCTATTTACATGTCTCAGTCCAGGTGCCAGTCACTATGGACCAATGCTATGTCTTGGCGTGGTGGTCCCTAGCTTTATTTAAACCTAATCGTATGCTAGACAGCACCTGTCGAGGTTGACGGTAGTGGGAAATACGTAATACCTGTTCCAGCTGATGAAGACAACTGATTTACCATCTCTATTTAGTACCTTGCTCATAACTTTGAAATCTCACACTTGGTGATGCACAAGCGATGCTTCGGACACACCTAGTAAGTAACGAATATTCTCGATTCTTAGTTGGCATGCTTCACATCCATAAGGTCGAACTGATGAGCAGTAAACTTATCCCTTAGTTGGCAGACGGACACCGTCCCTACCCTACAGGTGACGCTGTGGTGCGTGCTACTTATATTGATATAAGTAGTATATGGCGCGAGTCAGGAATGCAATGTCTGGCAGCAGAAGATCAAGAAAACAAGAGCGGGAATAGAATGTAATTTGTATGAAAATGCAAGAACAATGAATTCTGAGGCATTTTGAAACGATTGGTGGACATTTTGCAAATTAATGATTTGATATATGGTTCTCAGATTTTATTGAGATGCTCTGTCCGCACCCGTTTTCTGTTCACTACAACACAAGTTGGCGAAGGTTAACTGAGCTTCATGAATTTTACCGAATATTTCATCAGACACCAACCTACCAAAGTTGAGAATTGCAAGAAACGTTAGGTGGTCGATAAGTGTTGAAGTAAAATCAGTTTTAAAGCAATATTTTGGGCTTCGAGGCAAAGAATCTTCTTCAAAACATTGCATTATTGCTTAAGGCGGTCAGAGGACTATACAGTTTCGCAGCAACTGAGAACAATAAGTAATTAGTAAATAACAAATGAAGCAGCCTGTGTTTAATTATACATAGTTTAAATACTTATCATTCAACGAATAGTGAATTGATTATTCAGTCTGTCCAATCAAAACAAGATTAATTTTAAATAAATACAGTTAAATTTATATATTATGACAAAACTACCAGATAGTTACCCAAAGAATATCATTATGCATATTCAAGATTCACCTAATGCAGGTATATCTAAATTTTCAACGTCATTTCTTAATGCATCTATAAAATGATTTATTTCCATTACTCTTGCTCTGTTTCGATCATATTTTTCACCGGAATATATGGAAGTAATTGTTTCCTTAATCCATTTTTTCGCTTTTTCATTAATTTCATCCGCGAATTCATCAATTTTAAGTAAATGAGCATCGTTACTGGCTGTTAGTGCATTCGTTACACTTTCTTTATCAATAAAAATCTGTAATTTACCAAAAAATAAAATGCAATAAAACTTTTGTTTCAATGAATTTGTAATAACTGGAGATAAAATATTCTAATTTTTTTGTAGATATATGGGGATATGACAAGAAATATGCACAAGTGTAGATCGGTTACTTAGCGATGACATAAAATATACTTCCCTGAAGCTTTAGTTTAAGAGCAATAATCTATTTAAAATTAAGTAAATTAGTTGTTTAAAAAGTAACATCACACAACTTTTGGCTTATTATATAAAAACAACTAAATCTTACTTTCGAATCCACAGACACTTTCGCAACTTACGATAAACATTTCTTAATGTATGTTGTTAAACAAATTAAAATTTTTATAAATTTTGATAAGTGCTATTTAACAACTACACTTGAATGATTTTTTCAGACAAGTACAATTCTTATCATCATTATTGATTCGTCTTTTGTTAAAATAATTCCGGAATTTTATGTACCGAATAAACGGTAACATGTTCATATCGTTTTTGGGTACCTATGAACTTGAAAGCTGAAAAATTTAGTCCTACATTGCTTCATAAAACTTTTATTTGATTACTTTGAATACGATAATTTAAGGCTAATGAACTTAAGAATCGTTTTTAAAAGATATTTGTACCCCATGTATTTTCTAAAACTTTTCTTGTATTTCCACCCCGTGTTTAACGCTTAGTCAACCAGTGAAACTTGTTAATTTACTGTGTAGTTTTGACAAATGATTTTCAAATAAATCGTTATATAGTTCTCGAATTTCCGAATTAGTTAATTCTCCATATAATTGGTGCCTTTATATATGTATTATCTCTTGACATATGCCTGCTTCTAAGTGGGAAATGATCATATTTAAATGCTGAATCTGATGTGACCTTAACAAAACTACCCACTCACTTTAGTTATCAATATTTCAAGTTACGTTATCAAGTGCTCATCTATTAACAACTGGAACTAATTTCATTCATATATTTATTTTGGTCAATAACATTCATTACGATGGCGCCAATGAAACCTCCAGGAAACTCTTCGTACTTTAGATACTCCTACCCGCGTGACAAAGTGGGCAATCAAAAAGATTTTGCACTTAAGTATTCAAAAGTTGTGCATAAGTTATCGAATAGTACTAATTAACATTCTGTTTAGTCTCCAAATTTAATCGATTTGTCGTCAAAATATAAACAGGCTTGAGATAATGACCAGTAAATTTCACATCCACTTCTAAAAATATCAGTAGTTTGTTTTCCGTCACAACAAACTAGAAGAAAATGAAAGCGAAAATAACTGTTCAGTATAAATAACCATTCTCATGTTTATGAACTAATAACTTACGGCTAAAAGAGCATCTGATGGTTCGCTTTGGAAGTCACTACGCATAAATCGTTCTAAAATACCTGGGCATAGATCTGTCAACCTTTCATGATACTGAGTTTGTAATTCGCGACATTCCGTGAAATGTTCCTGAAAAATAATTGATCTGAAATAAAATCCTTCTATGAAGAGAAAAAAGTCATTAGTCAGTTGTTGAAGTAAAACAATAAAATCGTCATTTGAAGTTGGTTTTTGTCACAGAATAATATCAACTGGTGAACCATAAAGGACTGGATAATAATCCTAGTTTAGGACTCCAGACAGTGCGCATCCATAGCCTCTTCTAGTTTTGATCTCATTACGTTGACGCTGAGTGCATTGCCTTCAGACGACTATGTAAGGGTCAAGTAGTTTACAACCAATGCGCAGTATCCAAAATTTGATCATCCAGTGCCATTGGTGGATAAATCCCTCACTCATAAGACCAGAATGCTCTGACCAGATCAACAGTCGTTATTAATCTGTGAAACAACTGGGTGTTGGTGTAAAACAAGTAAATAATAATAATTTTCTTGAATTGAGTCCGATAATCGATCATAATGAATTTCTAAAAACCTATTTTATTAAAAGCTGGGATTGGTTGACGATGCAAATGAAAATCCTTTTGGTGATGATGAACGTATTAATTCTCAATAATTCTTCGTTTTATTTCTTCAATTACTTCTTGCATTTTTAACATTTTTATCACTATCAGTATTAACATTTTCATGTATTCCATTATTTGCATCTTTAATTTCTCCATACTAATTTGTAATATTTTGTCTTATATATATTGGTTTCTTGGAACGTACCGATGATATTTAGGATTTCAGTTGATCTTTTTTTTGGCATTTGTGCATCCTGTGCGGATTTCCTTGATACTACCAGTAAGTTACAGGCATTTTAAGCAGAAATGGATTCACTTACGTCTAGCTGACGAGTCCTTAATGGGACGAAACATGCACGATGGATTCCACTGCTAGCCATCATCCATCTCTGCTCATAAATTTGTGACCAGTGTTTTTGGAAAGGTTTTATATTTAGCCCTTAGTAAATTCACGCTTGTATGGAAATGAATACTCTTCAGAGGGATATTGGAAAACTGTAGTCGATAAATCTAGTAGATGATAAATTTTACCTGTCAACAAACAGTGATCTACACACAGTGATGATCAACGAATGTAAAAGAAATCCCAGGTTGCTCCAGTATTTAAACCACTCTATCTAAGGCTACTATTTCTTTTCCAATGCTAGCCACCATCCGTTTTTGCTTAATTTGGTAATATTGTGATAGTTTGAATTGGTATATACACGTTTAATATTCAGCAATTTTGCCGCATAATTATTACACCCTTTTGGATATCAGTAAAGCGTAGACGAGTAGCTAAACATATGAGTAAGAAAAAGTTCCATCAAAGTATTTTTGGTAGGTATAATTTGTTCGATTTTGCAATAATTTTTATTTTGTTTTATCTTCAGGAAACATCTTAATGAGTTTACATATAATTTGATCCTTGAGAGTTCGACACACACACAAAAAGAAGTCTAAGTTTTCATTCCTCATCACACTATTTATCTGAAATTATGGGAATTGTTATTATCCTAGAGATTTGAACCTAGATGATTCATTGCCATAATTAAAAGACACTATCACTATACTTTTGAAGATGTCATTAAGAATTGACTTCATGTACGTTGATATTAAGTACTTACTTCAACATTTTCAAGAAATGTACTAATCATATCATTTAAGTTTAATTCAAATTCATTAATTAATTCATCAATTTGTTCAACTAAAATTGATTCATTTCTCATTAATTCATTCCATAATTGTTGCACCTTCTCATTATAATCTAAAATATCATCTTCGACTTTAATCAAATCAGTATTCTCTAAAATTTCTCTAAATATCTATTTAAAAGAAAATTAAAATGAAAGAAAAAAATAATGTACTATGAGCTTTATCTTTTGAATAAAGATGCTTTTTCATTGTTGTATTATTTTACTAACACTGTAATGGACAAGAACGCAAATGGGGATAACCAGATATATTTAAATATAAAATTACGAAATCTCTTCGTAAGATATAAGAACCATACACTGAATACTTCATCTGCGAATTTCCATCACTTGTCCTTCATATTCTGTATGATTCTTCCAGTTCACAATTCATTTCTATTTTTGTTTCTGTTCTCTTCAAGTTAATCTTCTTAGCCTTCTGCCACTAAGGTTCCCACTTCCTATTGGTGTCACATACTACTTATGTCGACAAACATAAGTAGCATACACCACAACACTGCTTTAATTTTATTACATCAGAAAATACATCCTTAAATTAATAATTACAAGGAAATTAATTGTATATGTGTATTGTTTGTTAAAATGTGTCTTTTTATGAATTAGAAATTAACATAACTTTTTTATTCACAGAAACCCCGAAGCTTGAGTTAGTAGACATCATTTATATTTCAACAGTTGAGATCATGAATCATTTGAAGCTAGACCACCATGAAAAACCTGGAAGCACTGGACGGCCGTCCCGTCCTATTGTGAGACTCCTCAGCAGTGCGCGTCCATGACCCCGCCCCGTGGGATTCGGAGCCAGGACCTACCAGTCTCTAGGATATACCTCTTGAAACCAGTCACTAGTGAGCATATGTTGATTAGTATCAGAAGGGGTTTTGTGGAGATTGTAGTAATTTCAACAGTTAAGATCATGAGCCAATTGAAGCTATTTAATCAATTTGGGATTTATACTGATAACCACTGAATAAATCAAATGTTTATTGTGCTCTACTATAAATTAGCTGAAGTTTACTAAATGTTTATTTATTATATTCTAACATACTAGGTGAATCACACCATGTAATCAAGGAGATTTCGAAGTTTTAAGTTGATTCAATGAATAATGGAGTTTGAACAAAACAGTTATCCTTTACAAATAGTTTTGAATAATTATCCAAATGATTTCAATACTAGATGGAAATTTTTGTTCATTAGAAGAAATCTTTGTAGTGTAGTGATTTATACCTTGTTATGCATTCATATGCTGAAATCTTCCTATCTATTTAGGTTGAAATAAATTGATAGTTTCACTGTTGCATAAAAAAAATTTCAATCGTAATTCAAGTTTATATTACTTACTAATGTTTACATTTTTGTATATGTATATCATCTCATCAGATATATTCTATAATTATACAGAAGTTAAGCACATTGAGAATGACTTTCACATAGACTATTTCAAGTAATAAACAATGCACCATCTCTCCCAGTCTATGTCATCCTATGATATATTCAAATCCGGTGTTGTCTATTCTGACTTGGGCGTTTAGATCTCACATCAGAATGATGAGGTCCTTTCTTGGATACTTCGCTATGATTGATTGCAGCCTACCCTAGAACTGATCTTTATCGTCTTCATTGCTATCATTGGTGGGTGCATAACACTGGATAACATTTATTTTAATTTCCTGTCAGTTGTAATGAAATCCATTCAGTAACAACAACTGGTGGTAGCAGTTTTTGTAAACTTCAATATTAAGCTTTTTTTATGGTGTATAAAATCATTAACCTCTGATATCTAAGCCTACAAAATTTAGGTATTTTGGAAATTGATGTACTATGCAAATGTTTATGAATAGTCAGTTGGTTATGTAAACTGATAACTTGATTTAATTCGCATATGGATTAATTAGCCTTATACTTGAAAATAATTCTAGAGAATAAACAAACTGTTGTCTATTCAGAACAATTATCAAGATTATCACGTTTTAATTTAGAAAAGTATTTTTAACGGACATTGAGAACCTTATCCCTAAAAATTCATCAGAGTAGACACATCTGGTTGTGAAATTCTGAGTTATAGTTTTTGTGTTTAGCAAAATATTACTGGGTAATAATTTTGCTGAAACATAATTATTTTGAAATGAAAAAAATATTTGTAGTTCAGGTGCAGAGATTTATTAAAAAATTTTATCGTTATGACTTCAGACAAACCTGGCCTTTCCGAGCAAGGGACATTTGTCTAAGGTTTGTGTCCGAATATCGTTGTCTTCAAAGGATTATTAATATCTGGTGGCAACACTTATTTGTAATGCTGATACGTGTTTAGGTGTATTGACAATAATTTGATTAGTGTCACCATCTTGAACCACCGATATTGATGACTGAGTCATATTTTATGAACGTTATCTAAGCAATTTCCGCATCTCGCATTATTTACTGACACTGGGGCTGAATATAAAAAATTGGAGAGCAGGTACATAGGAACGCTGTTGTATGAAAGATAGTTGTATAGAACTGGCTTATGTCACTCCATGTTATTTGGGTCCTGAACATGGTACAAGTCAGTGGCCTTAAATATTAGAAGATATGGAGCGGAATATAGTGTTTGACTATAATCTTTATAAAATGTGATGAAACTCCCAACTGATTAAAATCTTTCTTGACTGTATTTCCGACTGACTACATCCCTTATTAAAGACTAACTTTGTCCATTTATTCAGTGACTGTACTGCAGTTCACTTTATTTATTCATATTATTATTGTTTCATTTGTATGGTGATTTTTTTGGTGCTATGTATCGATTAAATAAATAAATGACCAAGTTGATGGTTATTATGACTCGCTAATTTAATTTATAGCATACTAGCATAGCATACTAACAATCTCTAGTTTCGAGTTTCACTGTAAACATCAGTCATGAACATTGATTAAGCAGATGAAACGACAGAAAACACTTAACAACTATTCTTGACATCAATTCTTATAGATAAAAAAGCAGATAAACATATAATTCAACATGATGAAATAAGGGGTTTTGTGGAGATTTTAATAATTTCAATAGTTGAGATCATGAGTCAATTGAAGCTAGACCACCATGGAAAACCTGGGAGCACTGGACGGCCATTTCGTCCTATTGTGGGACTCCTGAGCAGTACGCAACCACGACCCCGCTCCGCGGGATTCGAACCCAGGATCTACTGGTCTCGTGCTCCCAGGTTTTCTATAGTGGTTTAGCTTCAGCTGACTCATGATCTCAATTATTGAGGTAATGAAATAAAATTGTTTAAATTTTAAGAGGAGTATAAAAATAATATTCAAAAATTTGCTTACTTTATCCTGATATAATTTAAATTCATTTATTTTCTTTCTACTTAATTCAGCATTTACCATTTTCGCTTGTTCAATACAATTTCGAAATGATTCTATTTCTTTATTACGTTTATCATGTTCTTTTATACCAAGTTCAAATACTAATTTACATTGATGTGTAAATTTTTCTGAAAAGGTAGATTATTATTATTATGATCATCACCATTATTATTGATAATGTTCATATAAATTATACAAGTTAAGGTGAATAGTGATACTGGATTAAATGAAATGAATACTGAAACATTCACAACAAATAAATACAATAGTGTACATGTGTTTTTTTTGTGTGCAGAAATGTAAGAGGTTCCGTTTTATACCTCTCAGTACCAGTTCAAGTATAACATGTTGGGTGAACATTAACTCAGTATGACCAACCCAGTTCAACTGTCAATGGTTCATGATATTGTCAAATTATTCAAATTTGTTCCGTTTAAATCTAATAACTTACAGTTATTAAGTATTATACAACAGCTTTCTCCACAGATATTTATAATAGTGTATATTTGTAGTGAATAAGAACACCAGTGAGAGCAATCGAACGTATTTAACACAAAATTATAGGACCTCTTAATAAAATCTAACAATCATAAAGTAAATGCTTAATTTGCAAAATGTCCATCAATTGTCTCAAAATCACTCAAACTTCATTGTTCTTGCATTTTCATACAAATTGCATCCTATTTCCATTCTTTACTGTTCGATCCTCTTGTCTCCCTGCTGCCAGACCTTCTGTTCACAACTAACATTATATACTACTTATGTCAATATAAGTAGCACACACCACATATTGATTAACTACTCTCAGATATACTGTTAGTTTACATGCCGAAAATTTATTTCACTATCAAACAATCAGATATGATGCATATAAATGGATAATTTAAGTTATTAGAGTCAACCACTCAGTTTCCAACTGGTCAATCACAGATTTGAATTCCTCTTCGTTTACTTTAGTTTACATATCTGAGTCGTATTATCGACCGTCACATAACTTAAATGTATAGCTCAAAGTTTAGTACATTAACATACACTTGAACAATAAATTATATGAATATAATATATTCACTTTCAACTAGGTTTGATTGCACAATCAAGATTTAGATATCATTAGGAAATTTAAACTATAAATAGGTTATGATCGAGTCATATCTAATGATAAAGAAAGTTTATTTTCATGTTTAACATAACAATCATTTCTTTGACATTTCTTATTTTTCATACAATTCAATGGTCGAAAAATTCTTTCCATTTATTCTATGATTTTTTAAATTGAATTGAATACATCCTTGTTAGTAGATAGAAAATTCATTTATTCACTGGAATTTTGATTAATTATTGATAACATTAAGGTTTATATATATATATATATATATATATATATATATATATATATATATATATATATATATATATATATATATATATATACGCTGATTGTTCTTTAAATTTTGGACACTTTTCTTGCATATTACTGATTCATTCAAGTTTTCTTACTACTCAAAAATCAATATCTGAATATAACTGGATAAGATTTCAGTGTAGATCGATCTTCTTTGGAGAATTACTCTGAAGAACTTCAGATGAATTATCAAAATATTGGAGATATTTAACTTCCAAATCGGTGAGATTATTTCATATGTACATTTTTCATACACAAGAAAATTACCAATCAGTAATTTACATATTTTATTAATTCTTTTAAATCCCTATAACGAATGATATTTTATTCATTGACATAAATACTAGTCAATTTGTAATGAGTGTAATGGAGTTGAAACTGTTGTCTTGTTAGAATGAAGAATGCACATATTTTTCGCCTTATTTTTTACAGATTTTAATACGATTAACTTATTAGAACAAAATTATTCCATTTGAGATAAAACCTTTATTTCTAATTAATGACCTTTTATCATGATGGATTTTGATAACTTTTTAATCTTTATTCTTAAACATGTTTATTCGTTCATTTCATTGATGAACTATTTCAGGTTCTTTTTGTTGATATCTAACTGAAATTCACATGTAGTTGACTTTATTACATGTGAAAAAAACTACTCAGTTACTGATTATTAAAGAAAAGAAAATCACTATGAGGTCTATTTCAACCAAACACAATGAATAATAAGTGTTGATCATAATTGTCTGTGAACGGGTAATACACAAACAGCATGTAAGTTATTTAAAATAATAATTTTAGATGATAATATCAATCATTGAGACGTATGTAATTTGAGATAAAAAGTTTCAAACACGAGCAGATATCTTTGCGTAATCGATTCTTCAGTTACTGTCAAGCATTATATTGATCCTCTTAAAATGTTCAGTGTTTGAATTGACAATATCAATACTGTACTACATTTTACATGACATGTTCACCTGCTAAATATGGGACATAAAGCTATTGCATTCAAAATAATCGGCGAACAACCTAACTTTGTCTTAATGAAATTCACAGAGACTTAAATCTGGCCTTTGTATTCAAAAAAGAGTCAATGGTTAAACCTTTATCTGCCTTCGTAACCGACGAGAATTAAACATTCTCAGTTCTTTTTTCAGTTCCGTTCTTTAATTATTTTGATCACAGTCTTTTAAGTTTAATTCATATACATTTTTATTTCTGAACCTCTTAGATCTTTGTCAAATTGAGTAATAAAAATGGAATGTACTAGAATCTTTAATTCCAAGAATCTGTAAAATCTTGTTAAAACCTTAATTCTTAACTTAATTCACATCCTATACGCCTTATTTCTTGTTAATAGACAATTCATGTTTTCTCATTTTAAAATAACCAAACTTATTAACTTGTATGTAGCTGAAGAGAAAGTAACGAAAAACATTCAATCCATTGTATTATACAATTAATAGAACTCTTAGTTCGTTTAAATATGCCAAGGGAACGATTTTAAGAAATACTGTATACCTCATTTTTTTATTGTTTGTTTGAATCTCGTTGATGTTTAGGACTGAAATTGATCAGTCTCTTATCGGTATATGTACATCCTGTGCGGATTGCCCCGATATTGCCGTAAGTTACAACTATTATATGCAAAGATGGATGGTGGCTAGCTAGTGGCTACCAGGATGGCGTTTTGAGCGACCACTACTAGGTTCGAGTCCCGGAGTCAACATCAACTCTGGGAAACAGGAACATCCGGATGACGAATCCTAAATGGGACGAAACACGCGTTCTGGATTTCACTGTTAGCCACCACTCACCTTTTCTTGTAATATTGTTTACCCCTTAACTTCATCATTTTGAGGAGATAATCTCTAAATTATGACAAATATTAAACACAAGCTACATACATTATTAATACAGTTGATGCCTTTTTGTGAAAGTTTTGATAGCTTGAATATTGGCTAACATAACAAATTGATGTTACCTGAAATGTCTAGTGATTTAAAGGCATGGTGATCACTGAGAGGTCTAAAGTTTTTGAGTTCAATTTCGTATGGAGTAGTGGGAACACAGTACTATGCAGTTCCTGAATAGGTGGAAACAACTGTCCATTGCTCCCGGGTTAGCAGCTGGTCTCCAGATAATGATCAAATGACATATCGTAGATCAGGGGGGAAGATTCTGGAAATGTGTTTTTCCGGCTGGATTGTCTAATCTTGCAGCTCTAATTATCTTTCCAGAGGACACTGTCAGAAAATGCTTTGAGAAGAATTAAGCTTAGGGATTTTTGCACATTTGTGTAACAACATGTTCTGTTGACATCAACTTCGATTATTTGTTCACAATAGTTAACATTATTTGATTGAGTTCTCTGACCTTGCAATTTTGTATCATTCTTCTTATTGACTGATAGATTGGGTCTATTTTACAACATCGAATGATTAATTGGTGAAATGCTTGTAAAGATCCCCTTGATCATTGTTTTATAGTAAGAATATAGTCTTGTTTGATCTTTGGCTCAGTCGAGATAACTAGGGCTATTACTTTAAAGGATGCCATCAGTTCTTTTTAATATTTTTAGTTTTAACATAACATGCCATTGTCGCCCGATTCAGGTACGGACAAACACACTTCCTGTACACCTGTGCAACCTGCTACTCTTGTGAGACGACTAAGAATGACTGAATAACTGTTGGTGGAAAGCTGAATGAAATGTATATAAGACATAAAGACTAAGACTTTCGCAGTGTGAATAACTGGCTTCATCCAGTAGCGTGTCTTATTTATCATATCTGAGTGCTTGGCCTTTGGATGGGGTGCAAGCACAGACGCGTGATACTAATAGACTTGCTCAGTCTATCACATCTAAAAGTAATACATAATTGTCGACTATTCAATAAGCCAACCAGGAAAAGGATATAATTCAATACTGTTGTACAATTCAGGAACTACCAATAATTCTCTGCCATCAGGATCATCAGTGAATAATTTTTGAAAAATATTTTCATCAACTATGCCATCAATAAATGCTTGTTTATATAGTTCTATTTCAGCTTGATTTTCAGCAAGTTCTTTATTCAATTTCAATTGAGTCTCTTCTTCACTTATAATCTCATCAATTTCTAGTTGATATTTTTCATAACCTGTAGATTTCTGTAATAAAAGAAAATCTGAAATTTTGATTTGATAGAGAGATGAAAATGACGAAACATAACAAAAAATAAAATGGGACAGAAAACAAATAATAAGCTAAAAAGAAATTAGGAGCGGGAATTTGTCTCTGAGATGTCATTGAATAAGTTATTTAATTGGGGGGAAAGCCGTTATGTATCTACCAGTTTTCTGTCCCCTGAAGATCATGTTTTATTGGCCGTAAAAAGTGTATTCTTTCCCAAAGTACACCCGAAAACTACTCAGCATTGGTATCTAAAGATGAATGCAAACCAGTTAATAGTTAGATTATTGACCACTTGATCAATCACTGCTATCTATCTCAACCAGAATCTTCATTTAAAATCATTCACACAAACTGATTTTAAGGGAAGTTGAACAAAAAACTGGTGCATAAAGGAAGCTATGATAACCTATCAGACCAATCATATTCTTTGAGTTCAGAACAGATATGTTTAATCCTTTATTTTATCATAGTCCTAACATTCCTTTCTCAAACCGAGGTTTTAACACATGTTCTTCCTTATATTCGACCATTGAACAGCCATTCACTCCTCTTCTTTTGATGCCATTTTCATTCTTATCACCTATTAACTATTAAGCAACTTCACTTGACACTTGAAATGATTAACTTTTGGTAAGTTTGCTAATGATTCAATAGTCTTCGATATTATCATAGACTTCTATGTGTAAAATAGCTATAAATACAACTGTATGGCTTTGTCGAAAAAAAGTTTTTTCTCGCTGAAATGACATTATTTAGCTTAATATTGAGCAACTTATATCATTGTCAATCATTTTCGAACAATTAACTTATCGTGCTTCTTCGTAGTTACATGTGTAATATATTTAAGCGCTTACATGAACTCGTGACATTTAATCGATCTATTATTATACTCCTGACATACTTAATAGTTTATTTTTATTTCTTGTGAGCTTGTTCCACATTTGTTTGTTTGCAACATTTTCTATTTATAGATTGCATGGAATAGTTACCTGCCATTGTTAAATTTGACACAGATAACTAAGCTATTACCTAGTTTATCGTATGTTTTTTTTCATAATTTATCTTTACATAACTATTCCACGCAATAGTTCCTCGTTGATCGTACATATTTGCATGTAAAAACCTTGAAAACCTCACTAATCGAAGTTTGTAAAATGTTTAGCTTGTGTTTTTATTGATAATAGTACCGTATTATGAAATAATCTACTGTACCGATTTTTTAATTCTAAACATAACTCAGTCCTTTTGTCTGAAATTCTAAGCAGAAATTGAAAAAGATGAAATAGGTGAACATAAAAAAAGAACTTCAGAAAGTAGCTTACAAGTTTATCGTCGGTTCTTTGATAATCTAAATAAAATAGATTGGGTAGCATAGCATGAATATACAACTTGTAGTCATCGTTTTTACTAATTGGATTACCATGTAAACATACTGATTGTAAATGGCGAAATTGACGTAGATATTTTATCTGTATTAAATGAAAATATTGATTTCAAAAAGAATTAATCTAATTCATTTTCTTAATCATCTCATGAACAAACCTTAATACTGGAATATTTGTAAATAAAAAATGTGATATATTAATACAGAGGTGGATAGGTAAGTTTGATTAAGTTAGTTAGTTTTCAATATGGATTAATAAAAGTGGATAAATGATTGAAAATCGATAATCAAGAAGTATCTTGTTTTGATACCAGACCCGGATATTCTGAGTTCAATCTCATATGGGCATGTAAGTGTGTATCATCTTGAAATTACACAACTAGTTGATATAAGTATGTAATACCTATTTGGTTTGCACTGATTTTTCAGCAAGTTAAGACGAATGACTAATTGAGAATGAAGATTTTAGTTGCTAAAATAAATGAAAGTGCTAATCGATAGATAAAATGTGATAAAACGATATGGTTTAGTGATGGATACTCATGAAGCCAAATACACTAATATTAATGATAATACCAATAGCCAAAGAAATAAATCTTATTTGAAAATAATATACCTATACACATATTATTAACCAACACAACCAACTAGAGGGAATCGGTTTCACTGAACGGAATACATCCATCAAGACATTTAATAAGAAAGATTAATTCAGTGAAAAGTTCTCTTTTCGGTTACTTCATTTTCAAAGCTGTACAATCGCTAATATATACTTATTTTTACCGGATGATAATAATTATAATAATGCTGGTAATAAACTTCTCTTAGACATGGTGACACTGAGGATAAATAAAGGCATTTAAAAATTTTCAAGCAAGTAAATCTTAATAATCGTTTGATTGTTAATGGCTTAAGTATTCATCAAAAGATAGATAGGGAAATTATCATTGGGACAGTATGACTCAACATGATAAGATAAAATGTAGAAATTGAGATTAATCAGGAGGATCGTAGAAACAGAAATGAACCAGTTGGGGGTAGAAGACTTATGTGGAAGCAGATGGCTGTAAAGGAAGAAGAGTATGAAGAAATAAAAAAAATATAAAACGTTAAGACCATGGTAGAAGATTTTGTACCAATCTTCTTTGTACACACAATTCTGGTTTTTCCAGATGTATGGCTATTGTTTCGGCAGTGCATGGTCTAAGATGTAGTCCAGATTTGTGTATTTTTGGCAGAGCATATAATCGCGGTATTATTGGTCCTATTGGTTTTATGCGCTCAAAGTCATGTTCGTCGATTGACCGATCACCTTTCATTCTCTTAAAAACTTCAATCAGTTGCTCTTCTATAATTTCAGCAGCACTAAACCCGCACCTTTATCTGGACGTCTTTATCAAGTTTTTATTGTTTCTAAGTAGTTTTAGTTGATTTCTATGTTTTTTTAGTTAGAAGACTTTTACCTGTTACTTTTGTGCTAATATACTGGTAGCAGCAATCGAGAAGAGTAGATTTGGAACGTTGGAATTCTTGGTCAAAGACTGGACTACGACCATTTGTTTGTTTGATTAAATTTTCGAATTAAACATGTGTATGGATTTTAATAATTTTTTCATTTATGTAAAAAAATTTTATCCCCAAGGATAAGACTTCTAATTGTACATTTGTTAAGGATATTGAAGTATGATTGCTAGGAAATTTATGTTGTGTTTCTGTGGTTTCTAAGCCTTGAGTGAGATCCGATATTAGTTTTTTCGTACGTTTGTCACTAACTATGGTAACATATTCGTCGAAAGGATCGTGTTCGTTAGGTGATAACTCGTATAACACAGATCTCTGTAAAATGTTAAAGTTCAATAACGGGATGCGTGGACGAAGAGAATCGATGACATTTTGTGCATGAAGTTTAAGAGATTTTGAGTTTGGATAAATGTTGTTTCTTCAAAGAATTTTCCAGCAGCATTTAGGATACTTGTGCGTGTTAATGCAATCCATAAGAAAGATAATCTTCGCATTCACTTCCGCGAATTTGACAGAATAATGAAGAAAACCATTAAGTTCCTTTACTGTCGAAGGGTCCTTAGAATTTTCTAGGTTTTGAAGGTCACTCACTCTCCAATAAATTAGAACCGGACTTTAAGGTTTAGCTTCTGGCCGTAACATCACGTCTAGTTACGAGATGATTAGCGATCCTTTTGTGATAACATCGGTGAAAAGGTAATACTTTAGAAGTATCTCACATATACCCTAGCTTTCATTTAAATCATGTTTCTAACCCATCTATAGATTACGGCTGAATTATTGACACAAAATTTAAGACACTTTCTGTGATTTCTTGATTTTAAGGAGTGAATAAATCCTTACTTAGTTATAGCTTTAAATGTACTTTAGCGATTAAGAATAGGTTAGTACACCTCTGTTTTGAATCAAACTTATTATTTGAAAGCTAGTGATACTGCGAAATCGTTCAGATAAAAATGAGTGGAACGATTTTTAAAATTGTAGTCCAGTAGTCGAAGGTCAAACAATGTAGCCTATATCTCATCACTTTCTACTAAACACTTGAACCATATCCCTGATATTATAAAGATCAATTAGCACGTAATGCGGATTCTCTTCAATGTAATAATTATTGATAACACTACTCATATCTAACGATCAAACTTGTTCACCTAATGAATAGACTTAATAATGTCCAAACTCCAATTGGTGTGTTGTGATTTGAATTATTTCTTTTATTAAAAAATAAACTCACATAGTATATATGCATGCATATATTCTAGAGTCATAAAGTGGATTTGATTTCTATTTGTTATTATGTATCATTACTAAAGTTTCACTCGCCAATTTATAATAAATTGAGGATTAGTTATAATACTAATAATGAAACTAAAGGTAAATCTATAGTATCCAAATGAGAATAAAATTAAATTTCTGACGCTTAGCAACTTAGTGTAAGCCACTTCTTCGGAGTAAAGCAAATAACGTCAGAAATATAATTTTTAACTACTTGAGACATTACAAAAACATATCGTTTAATCTATCATTGATTTTTTTTTAATTTCATAAAAAACGGGATATTTTGCAATGTTCATTAAGTAGTTATGTTAAAGTCCGCTAATTACAAACTACTGGTTTCCAAACACTTTATTTGAATTATAATAACCGCTTTTTGAATCACTTACTGGTAACTTCACAAACAACAAAGAAAGTGTAAATACCCACTAGATCTTCGGGTTCAGTTGATAGTGTTATCTACTTAACGCATATTTATGTTTTACATCAAATTCACTATGTTAACTTGTCAATTAAATGAGTTACAAAAAACGAGTAGAACAGTAAAACACTGATATGAAGAGAAAATAATCAGCTAGTCATCGCAGCGAAAGAACAAAGTGTCAAAATTTGAATGTCTAAGGTGAAATTCACATAAATGAGGAACATATATTTAATTTACAGTATATTATATTTTAGTGATACTCTTAACATCATTATAAAATTTAATCCAAGCTGAAATCCAGAAATCATGTCTTTACCATCTAAACTCTTGAACACATACTAATAAATAGTTTTACTTACATTAGACAATTCAGTAATATAGTTGTTACCAATTGAAAACACTTGTAATTTTTTCAAATTTTCCATATTTTCTAATGTGGTAATTCGGTTATTGTACAATGTTAAATCTTCTAAATTTACCAGATTTTGTAAGCCATCAATTTTTTCAATATTATTAAATGATAAATCTAAGTGATTATAAAAGTAGTATTTACATTTCACCATCGAATTACATTCTTACCAAGCCAACGTAGGTGAGTTAAATGACCGATACCTTCAATTCGTTCTATGATGTTATTATCAAGCTGCAACTTAACAAGTAACTTAAATGCCCACAAGTTATCGATTTTTAAAATGTCTAGTAAATTGTTTGCATAAAAGTAAAATTGAAAACTAGTTTACTTTTATAATCCAATCTCAGGTGTGTAACATTTTCAAAATGGATTCCATCTTGTTTAGCAAGTTCGCTCACAGTTCTTTTTTGCAATAATGAAAATACAGCATCATTTAGTAACTGTTTATCAATCACTGTTGGTTCATAATTGTCATATAATCGACTCATTTAGTTGAGTTCTAATGAAACACAACAACAGAATAAATATCTATAAATAATAAAGGCAAAGAATAAACAATCGAATTATGCAGAGAACAAGTTATATATTCGTTATTTGATCCTCATAAGTTACTCATTATAAATAAAACGGGAAATGAAACTTATTTATATGTTTATCTCATGATGACAGTTTGAGATTAGAAATATATCACCTAATAATGCACTCTGTTTGTCTTTGACTTGTATTTTTATTTCAAACTTAATTTTCGGATTCTGTCAATGGAAACCTTAATAACTTGTACTCAGTCTGCATCGGTTTTGCTGGGTCAACAGTGGCATTGTTTCGTATATGACCAGTCAAGAGTGTATCAGGAGTTCTTGAGAATTATGTAGACATATTGAACAAGCATTCGTACAGTGTATAGTCCGATGATGGCTTGAACAAACTGGAATAAAAAAGTTCAGAAGACAGTTCTCAATGACAATGATTCATCACTTATGCTGGGTATTGTCAGTATTGGTTGTGTAGTCTTTCAGACGACCAATCTGACAAAAAGAGAACTAGTCATAAAATATTCATATGTGGTTGAAATGTGGCAGTTGTCTACGTAGCTCCTTGGCAGCACGAATCAGCATCTAAGCATTTGTGTTCTTCGGATGATTTACTCCAAAAAATAACCAAAACAACACTACTTGTCCCATCGCGTAAAAATTGCGATAGAAATATTAATAAACATATTAAACTCCTGTTTCTGCTTCTAAGTACAACAAATCTAAAACTTTACAAAATTTCAATCCCTTCAGATTTTTGCTTTTACAACCCAAGCAACCAATGAAAGGGGAAATAAAGATGAACAAAAGGGAAATAAAGAGTAAAATGCGTTGGAAAATAAAGGGGAAAACGCGCCAAAATGTCGCCTTTTTCGCCAGTCCAGGGAAAATAATTCGGATTCCCCCCAAAGGTCTCCTATGTTCGCCTTTATTCCCACAACAATTAATTAGCTATAAGGTTAGTGAAATAAACATCAAAATCAACATAAAGTCTTACGCTTTCGCAAACAACATTATCAATGAGATATAAATAGCAATCTCTATAAGTTTGGCCTTCTCAAGACATATCCTAACATTTGTGTTGTTTGATTCACAGTATTCTACAAGCAGAATAAGTAACTATGTAACTGATTCTAATATAGATTCCAGCATAACAATTTTCAGGAGAGAATTCTGAATTGATAGGTGACATAACCTAGAATGTTTGCTTTTATGAAATTTAGGGAATGAAATATTTAGATATCTAGAAAATGAAGTAAGCACCTAGATCAGATGGCTGCCATCGTCATTAGGGTAATTTCACAGATGAGAAAAGTATTTGACCTTCAGTTAATAAACTCAAGTCTCGTTTCTATCGCACAATTAGGCATATTGACCCATTTAGTCAATTAATCACTACTCTTTGCTCCTTAGACAATATTCAGCGAAAAATCATGTGAATAATTGTGATTGACAAATTGTTTTCTTAATTTTGGTTTTCTTTTTTCGAAGAAGCAACAACTCAACAGAAGTATGGGATGATTCAACAACTTACCAATAAATCACCATAGCTTTCAAATCATATAGTGCGTTTAAACAATTTAAATATACAGCAGCCAATATTTTAGGTCTAACTAGTGTAAACCAAATGGTTTGCTTGCGCTCGCTTGACATTTGGAGTCTGTTTCAATTAATTTAGTTAGCCACGTACTTGTATTAGTGTTTATTAACAGCTGTCTACCCAAAATACTTCGGATCCGTTGACCAGACACTATCAGCGACAATCTACTATGGGAGAGAACAAACCAGATCCCACTAGGAAAAGGAATCGGGCGGAGGCTCTGGAAGTTGATGGGACAAACATTGTGGAAAGCATCCAACTACGTCACAAGGCAAGCCCTCACATTAAATCCTCAATGCCATGGGAAAAGAGAAAGACCAAAGAACACATTAGGTCGAGAAAAGGAGACATACATAAAAATATGAACAAAATTGGATAGAACTGGAAACGAAGGCCCAGGATAGAGTGGGTTGGAGAATGCTGATCGGCGGCCTATGCTTCTATTGGGAGTAACGGGCATTAGTATTGAGTAAGTAACCTACTTGTACTAATCTCATTGATGTTCCACCCGTTTGTTCGTAGATGTTGTTGTTGAAATGAAAACGTGTTGTTAAGTATAAATAATTGAATTCTAGTAGATTTTGACATTGAAGCTCCGTGTTCTTTGCGAGATTTGTGTCGTTAGTGAAGAGCAAGGATAAAGTTTCCTTTTCCAAGCTTGGTTTAATTGAGATGATTAAAGCTGATACATCAAAGAATATCTTCACTTCGACGATGTAGTTAAGAACCCTCTTATACTTATCCGGTAGTTGCATATGAGATGTAATGGAGTGATTGAAAGAAACCACAAAATGTTTTAATATTCGTGAAATTCCTCATCACAAATTGTGTTGGTGATCCAGGGAGTACTACAACCGGACGTAGTGAAATGTTTGACTGAAGTATTTGGTTCCATTGGTTGTCTTGAAATCTTAATTGGGTTTTTCTTGAGGGTGGATTTTTCTGTCATTTGTGTTGTCAGCATTATACCTTTATGGTTGTTGTCAAGATTATTAAGTGTCCTGATGTGCATTTTCTCTCTAACTTTCTCTTTTGGTTATCCACGGATAATTTATACTTGTGTATCCTGTAGTGTGCATCAGTCATAATTAGGTAGTACCATTTAAATTCAATTTCGTTTACCTATCGTCCGTTACACAGGGGAGTTGATAGGTGGCCTTTGGCTTACACCTGTTGGTGGAAAATACTAATGTAGACACTCGTGGATATAATACAACTGTTCTCGTGTGGAAGCCTGTCTTTTGTTGAAAGCCTCCATTTTATTCAGCAATGAGAATTGTGCCGCGCTCATATGATTTTGAGATAATATAGAGTTTTTTAGTTCATGTGAGTGATTCAAGTTGAATTTTTCTCCCTGATCAGGATGATTTGGTCGTGCAGCTTTTGTGGTATTTCTACACGAGATCTTCAGGACAAGTAGAAGTGAGGTGTTCGAATTTCTCCACATATGACTCACAGCTTGTCCTGTAGACCTCGATTAGTTATTTTCGACCTTTAAATTGCCACTGTCTGCCTCCACACTCTTTAAAATCTCAGTGTTTACGTTGTTAATTATTAGTTTATATACTGTCCCGCAAATCAGTATAGACTCTTCAGATTTGTTCGCAGCATTGCGATAATTAACTCAGCATATGTTTTGTTTGGTGAAGCACTGATAATTTTCATTCTGAATAAGCTTATAAGATGACCTCAGGCTCCCCCTCTTAAGCGCAGAATAATTCCGGTGGCCTGTTTTGCATAGTCGAACGTTTCACATGATATCTCCGAAATCACTGTAAAAACACCGAAATGATTTGATCATTTCTCGGAACTGCTGTCGGGTTATGAGTGCGATACTAAGAAGTATTCGAACTAATCTGCTTACCAAGAATATCCGTAACAGTGTATTCTAAGAGAGTTAGAACTAGGTGAGTACGGCCGAATGTAATATATTTAGAATTCGTAATAAGTGTACAAACAAGTACAAGAGTATCATCAGTTAGCGAGAATACCACGCCTAATCAGTGCTGAAAGTATTCAGATCACCGAAGACTACTTTGGTTTACACGCTATCATACAGGTCAATTATAGGAATATATACAAAACTGACCAGAAAAATAATCGAATACTAAAGGCAGCTGGGTTACAAAATACTTCAAGTGACAAGAGTTATCAAATAGATATCAATAGAAAGCGAAATTATATTGTCTGATCGAAATAACTGCTCCTGGGATTCGATTGTAATTATGGTTGCCTACACTGAATGGAAATTTTTACATCAGTGTACAGACATAAGATACTTTGAGAAATATGTTTATTTGTAGCTGTTACTTCGTTTAGAGGTTCCTCGTTCACAACCTCCTTACAAAAAGGGAAAGCTTACATCATCAGTATGCACAGTTCTCTGTCCCAGATTTTTGTAGAAAACCTTATAACACAAGTTTTCTGTAATCTTAAATAATAGAATTTACGGAACAGGAAATCATTTCCTTAAAAAATGCATACCAAAGAACTACTAACGTTACTTGGCTTCCGTAAAAGCAGTTATCAAAGCTTAACTTTGGAAACAAGTGCGGATGGTTTTAGTGAATGGACTCAATTCATAAGTAAAATAACAAGCGCATATTGAGTACTGATTGACAAACTAGATGTGAACTAATAGATCCAAATGAATAGAAAGACATGAGCGGGTAACAAGCAGATCATATGACAATGTATATTCCACAATAATATTTACATCATGCTTTGGATTTATACCAATATTACAAATAAGAGATAAGAGGAATGGAAAGTTAACTTCAGTTGATAAATTTTATCACAACTGGAATCTAGCCTATTTCCCAACGCATTAATCCAATAAAATTTATTAATAACAACGTACGACAATACTGACGAATATTCTGACTAAATAGGTACCCTGAGCTGCTTCAATAACCCAAGTCTAATGTAGATAAGTTGAATATAAGAAAAAGTGTGCAGAATGTTAGATGGACGCTTCACTCCGATATTAGTTCATGTACATAAAATTGTGGGTACCCATAGCTTTTCAGATGAACTTGAGCATCTGGAACACTACTCAAAATAGTACCCGGATATGTAGCCACCAAGTCATTAATGTGACTCTACACGTCCTAGATGTTTCTGAGTCACTTCTGCTCAACGTTCATTGGATAAAATGTTTTCAAGCTCTTAATGAACTTTTTCGAGGAATATACTGGGTTTCTATAACAGATACAATGTTCAGAATGGCTGTGTTTATACAGACAGACCCCCTAGTTTTACAATTTAGTAATTAGTAAGGATATTTTTTGAAGTCACCGCAGGTGGTTAGTAAATTTCTGATGACAGAAATGTAAATAAATACATCATATATGAACACCCTGAAAATACA